GGGCAGCGAGCAGGGGAGGGGAGCCAGCTCCCGCCCCACTCCGAGCTTCCCGAGGAGATCCCGCATTTGCCTAGAGCTCAGGGCCGGGGCAAACCCGCCTGGCTTCGCTGAAGTCTGATGACAAGAGCACTGTGGCTAAAAACAGGACCGCGCCTCGTCCCCCCCACCCCCCCCTCCTGGGGACACGCCAGATGCACTTGGGAGAGGCAGGCACAGAGACCGCCTGGGGCTGGTAGGGTGCAGTGCAGGCTTCGGGCTACTGGGAGAAAGGAGTAGTGGGTGCGGAGAACAGATGCTGAGTAGGCACTGTGCCACTGGCCGGGCGCTGAGGGGCAGCATGGATCGCGTCCCTAGAAGGAGGCTAAGTTGAAGTTCTGGCTGAGCGGAGAGCAGCTCCGCTCGAGGCCAAAGGATGACTGAATTCAGCGAGGAAGTAACATTGTCCTGCTTTTTGCAGGGTTCGTGTTTGTTCTGCCTTGAACTAGTGATAGAAAGGAGATAGCCCCGTCCCCCACTCAACAGTGACCGGAGTTCCTCTGGAAACGCTTTCCTCACAACCCAGCCCTCCATGTGTGCTCCTTCTAAGCTCCCACAGCAGCTGTGTTTTACATTTGGTTTTCAAATATATCCAGTCAATAATGTAAGCCTCCAAAAACGAAGGCGCTAAGCAGAGGTGCGTCTGATTTCCCTGCCTTTGCCTCTCCGTGAAGCACAGCAGAAACTCCATCTGGGCTGACTTCTGGTTTGGGGCCTCAGCTTGAGCCACTGCAATTCTAGACACAAAGGTCTGAATACAGGCTGGGGGGTGTGGGGGTGTGGAGAGGCCTGCTTCAGTACCAGCTGGTAATATGGGGAAGCTCTGCTACTGCAGAAACCAGTAGCAACAGCAGGAACTTATGGCAAGTTCATGTACCACCAGTCTTTATGTCCGAATTAGAATATCGCGTATCCAGCATACATTCTTTCTAGAAATTCCTCATTATCTAAACAATCAAAGAGAGAGCTGCTCTGGTGAAAATCAGCCTTTGATTTTTTTGTTTCCAGTCCTGTTTTTCTTCACTTAATGTCTGTGTGGCCTTTGAGAAGTTTTATTGTGTGGGTTTTGTTGTTGTTGTTTTTTCCTAAGTTTCAATTAAATCTTGGTAACACTAAAAGTTACCTCAACTTTTGTGAAGGGTTGATAAGCCAAACAGATGTTCAAGTATGTAGGTAGCTGGGCACTTCATGTCAATTGCAAAATATTTATTTCCAATATTACAGCATCGTTACAACCTAGAGAAGCTGTTACCTTGGTCCAATTAATTAAATTGTGCCCTGAGTTCTCCCTTTGATACGCTGGCCCTTGGTCCAGAGAGACTTCGTTGAGGCATGCAGTGAACCTAATGTGGTAGATTGTAATAACCCCGATTCTTCACACCACCCTGTATCCACACCCTTTATTATGTGACTTTGCAGTTCCTCTTACTAAGGGGGCAGAGTATGTTTCCCTCCCTCTGGTCTCTGTGTTTGAACATGTGATTTATTTGGCCGACAGAATGAACCAGAAGTTCCTGAACCAAGACTGGAAAAAGGCCTCACATGTTTTCATTTGTTCTCTTGCTTCTCTGCTACTCTCTTAGGGGAAGGTAGCTCAGATATTCCACTGGTCCCTGTACATCCCAAAGAAGATGTGAGGAGCAGAGCTGCCTCAATCCACAGGCCTGTAGTGAAAAGAGACCCGCCTAGGTGCTGTAGCCTGAAGCACAGCTGTCTGGCCAAGCCTAGGTCAGCCGAACCCCCAACTGACCTACAGATGTGTGAGCAAGAATAAATGTTGACGCTCACTTTGACATGCAGTATTGTTGCAGTAATACCTAACCGTTACCCCTGGCAATGCAGACAGGTGTCACCAGGGAAAGGCTGGTTGCCAAGAAAGCTCACAAAGTGGAATTTTTCTCGGTAAAATTATCTTGGTCCAGGGTCCAATCCTTAGTTTGACAAACTCAAACCCAATCTAAGAGCCTAATATATTTACACATTGAGAAATACAATCATCAGGTAAGCCCATGTTTGCATCAGCCTGTTGAGCACATACTCTCCCTATGGGCAAAAGATTACTCAGTGAGCATGGGATCAGAAGAAAGGGAATTACTTACATGATTTGGAAGTTTAGGCTTTGATAGCCTGCTATGTCATCATTAAAGAGAGCTGTCTGTCTGGCAGACAAACACATCACCCTGATAGGGTCACTTTTATTCTTTTAATTCTCACCTGAGGATATTTTTCCATTGATTTTTAGAGAGAGTGGAAGAGAGAGAGAAAGACAGAGAGAAATATTAATATCGAAGTGTGAGAAACACATTGATAGGTTGTCTCCTGCACGAGCCCGACCAGGGCCGAGGAGGAGCCTGCAACCCAGGTACTGGCCCTTGACTGGAATTGAACCCGGGACTGTTTGGTCTGCAGGCTGACGCTCTATCCGCAGAGAAAACCGGCTGGGGCCTTTTCATTCTTGATGGTGCTGATATGAGATTTCCACTTTATAACTTTCTAAACTTTTCTTAAGGCCTACTTTCTGTTCAAAACACTTTTCTTCAAATAGTGTTGTGGTGGAAACTGCTAGTTTCCACTAATATTCATTCTCTATTTCTTTTAGTGATAGAGTCCTGAATTTTAATTGGGTAGATCCTTCCTTCTCCCCCATTTAAAGCCTATTTCCTGGCCTCCCTTGCAGTTCGGTGTGTCCCTGTGATTAAGTTTTGTTGGCACTGCAAACAAAATCAGTTGCATCTGATGGAGGTTATGTCCAGGAGCTGCAGGTGGAGGCCAAGTGAAGTGAGTGGTGGTCATAAATAGAGCTGTGAGCACTGGAGCAGAGCGTACAACCCTGAGCAGGAATGCCAGTGGGACAATGCCGAAGAACAAATACTTAACCTTCTCTTTCCCAATATACACCAAAGAGAATGATCTTTAAAAGTGAGGGAGGTTGGCACTGGGATGTACATGTGCGTAAGACATAGGAATGCTAAGCCCGCTAGTCACAGAACTAGAGCAATTCATTCCTGACTGCAGACATGTTCCAGAAACCAAATATTGGAAAACAGATTTTTTTTTTTAACAGCAAGAAAACCTTAAAGTTTTTAGGATTGCCCTTTCATCCCTATTTGCTTATTGTTTTTACTAGTAGTCTACTAATTGGGGCACATAAAGCCCTGTTTCTTGTTTATCTGATATTCATAACATAGGTCAAATATAACAATTCTGGAGACAACAAATAAAAACAAGAAAAATAGGAGTTTGAGAATGTATAAGATGAGAGAGATGGTTATTGTGTGGTGTCAAAAACAGTGGTATCCAATAAGTAAAATAGATCCAAATATTCAATAACTGGTAAAATTCCTGGAAGTCTGCATACTTAACTTTTATTTCTTTGCCTATTTTAACAAATGATCCCAATGATCCTGATGTAGGACTAGGTTGTTTCAAAAGTGAAGATCTAAGTGAGTCATCCTCTAAGGCGTGTCAATCAATTTAGTTCAAGGCTTTGACTTCTTCTTGGTCTTCCTTATTGGACTCTGGAATCACTTTCCTGTTGACAGTAACATAGATCAGTTCCCACACACAGAACTCTGTAGTTGTGAACACAAAGTAGCATGGAAACAACTTTCAAAAGTTTTCCCAATAAAGATTTACTGTCTTGGATTCTGACAATGCATTAGATTTTGCAACCAAGTGTAAACTTATATGTGGGAGAAGCTGTAATTCTACTGTAAAGTGTGATTTGAAGGGCATGAGAGAAGACCTCCTAACCCTAAATATGTTTTGCTCACCCAAGAGTCAAACTTGGGAGATTTCATCATTGCTAATTGATTGTGATGGATTATCTATTGTTCCTTCTAGTCTGTCCTCTATTATGCAAATATTCCTGGAGTGGATAATAAACATATTGTTACTAAAATCTTACTCTGTACACACTTTCTAGTTCTTTCTTTCTGACAGTAGGGAATTTGGATTGTCTTAAGATCTGTTGGATAAGGGATGGTAAGGTTGTATCTGTGTACTCAGAGGGGTTTGGGACAGATAGGAAAGAATGGAGGGAGGTAAAAGAGGGCAAAATTAAAGTATTTTACAAT